CCCCTCAAGTGCTACCCTCTAATGCTGCACGGCTCCCTGGTTAGCTTCCCTCCCCTCAAGTGCTACCCTCTAATGCTGCACGGCTCCCTCGTTAGCTTCCCTCCCCTCAAGTGCTACCCTCTAATGCTGCACGGCTCCCTCATTAGCTTCCCTCCCCTCAAGTGCTACCCTCTAATGCTGCACGGCTCCCTCGTTAGCTTCCCTCTCTCCTGCAGTCACACCTCACTTTACCCTCACCCAGTATACAGCCGTATCTGCATCAACCCTCGCTATTCGTACCTAAAATCCTTATAGTTACAATCACCTTCACTAAAGTAAGGGTGCATGAACCATTGGCCTCTGGGACCGTTTGCGTAGATCCACGAGCTATTCAAACGAGTAGTTGAAAGACGAATTGTAATAGTGTTAATTTCGATGAAAAAAATGAGCAATAAATGTTCAATATCGTTAATAACTGTAACATAAAAAACTTATTCATAATTCAATATAGAAGCGTCGAATTCGTTGAAAGTGTTGGAGAAAAATGCTCGAAGCCTAGAAAGAGAAGCGCATTTTTGTTTGTTTGGTAAAGTGAGGGATGATGAAGAATTCTCGTAACCTAGTGTATGTATTGCACTTGTATATGTATGTATATTGCGCACGGAGTGCATACATTGCACATGTATATAATTCAGCATCCATTCTTCATTTCTGCCATTATTTTAATTGTGTATTTCTACGTATATTGGCATGACTCCCGGTGTTAACTAAGTTATTTTAAAACCTTCACAGCATCTAATTAAGTTACATATATCATTTTCTTCGAATCTTGAATTAATTTTTAATTTTTTAATAATCACGTGCATTTGGTTTTATTTTAATAATGAGTTACTTTTTTTGTACTATCCATCTTCCTGATGTAGCATTGTTTTTCATTTACATGTACATATCGTATTATTGACTTGACTCACTGCACTTTACTTTAGCTTAGTTTGACTGCAATTTATGGTACGAAGTTTCCTGTGAAGATCATGATACAATGCTATTCCTACCGGTATCTTGTGCTGCTGCTAATCCAAAGTTCATGGGTTGCTATTGCTGTGAACCCAGCTTCAGTCAACCGGAACTTTACGTGCCATTATTGTGCCTTCCGAAAAATTCAGGCTTTTTGCCATTTATTGAGAGCTTTGATAGAGCCAATTTATAAGTGGAAGAACCCGTTGCAGCGGGTAATTTCTCAGCAAATTAAAAATACATCATTTATGCTCAAGCTACGACAAAATGTAATA